ATTTTTAGTATCTTAGAGAATACAAAGAAGTCATAAACTATTATTCTAGGAAATAAGATGGCAAATGTGTGCCAAATCTTGTAAGCCCCATTAAGTTGGGTTGTTCTAGGCCAGTGACCCAGCCTCTTTCTTTGCCCAGCTGTGGAGATGTGGCCATCTGTGAGGACTGTTCCGTGCTGTGCCCTTGGTGTTCATTCCCTGCCGTCTTCCACTGTTCCCGCTAACATTTAAACATTTCTAGCAACCTGGAATCTTTTCCTTTTCTCTTAAAAATTAAGACAGTAGAAGGAGGGACTCCCCCCCCCCAAACCAGAATTTATTTATAAAAAACTTGTGTATTTATTCTTACATATTTAAACTTCAGCCACCTTTAAAGTACTCTCCATTTGATGCAAGATGTGTTTTCCACTGCTCATAACAGTTTTTGAACTCACCGACTTTGATGCCTTTTAGTGTTTCTGCAGTTTTTTGTTTCACCACTTCCACATCAGCAAAACGTTTTGTTTTCTTTTGAGGACTTTTTTCATCCGGAGTAAGATCAGGTATAGGGAGGGTAGAGCACGGGGGTCATGCCGTTTTTTGGTCAAAAACTGCTGAACACTCAGTGCTGTGTGGGCAGGTGTGTTCATAAATCACCCATCATAAAATGGGCAACTATGTTGAAAGTGTCTTCAAAAAAAATTTACTGAAGCCAAATGCAGCCTCTCACAACAATGCCAGCTGGGTTCCTAGAACACTCACCTAGTGGAGGAAGCCTGTACTACAAGGGACCTGCCTTCCGGAAGGTAATTCCAGGTTTTTTCTGGGTTCCCCCCTCATACACCAAGCAAATCTAGAAGTTATTTTTATCTAGATATGCCTTGGAGAAGTTCTGTGTATTCAGCTTTATTCATAGGAGCCAAATCCAAATCAGAGTTTTTTAGATCAGCTTGGAATGTGAAAATCTGTTATTCCTTCAGTCTGTCTTTTTGAGCTACCTCTTCCCTCTTAAGAATTATCATTGTGCTTTTAGGGACTGCAGAGTGGGGAAGTGAGTGCATCCGATGGGTGAACACGTTCTGAAGAAAGGAAGAGTGGCGCCACACTGGTGACGGCGCATCATTTTGGGATCATGTTAGTTCCCAGAGGTTTTTTTGCCCTGTAATATGTTTATCCAAGGTTCTAAAGCGATCCTTTGTTATGATTTGTCTTTTAGCTGATGATTCAGAAAAAGCATCACATGAACAAGAGGCATTTAGGAATCTTCAGGGCTATGTATATTCTTGCAGACTATCTCCTAGGTATTGCTGACATCAAGGACTAATCTCTCGAAGGTGGAGAATGCAGACTGCAAGGTGCTATGACCCACTCCTGAGGGCTGTCAGGTTCTCTGACGTGCGCTGACCCAGAGAATCCATCAGATTCTATTAGACTTTTTTCCCAAAGCAATCAATCAATCAATCAATCAATCATTTATTTATTTATTTATTTATTTTAGAGAGAAGGGAAAGCAGGGAGAAAGAGAGGGACAGAAACATCAATGTGGGAGAGAAACATTAATCAGTTGCCTCTCATACATGTCCCAGTCTGAACCCACAACCCAGTTATGTCCCCTGCCCTGACCAGAAATTGAATTGGTGACCATTTGCTTTGCGGGATGACATCCAACCAACGCCCAATCAAGCCACACCAGTGAGGGCAGATTCTATCAGTCTTTCTTGGCTTCTGTGCATACCACTTCTTTCAGACATTCCTCTTGTGGGTATGCAACACGACTGTGAAAAGAGCGCTGTGTTTTAGACTGCTTCAAATACATGTATGCAGTTTATTACCTCTGTGACAATGGACAGGTTTCTGAGTTTCCTTGTCAGTAACCTGGGGATAATAAGACTGGCTTCTATGGGATTGTTGTGAGGACTGAAAATTAAGTATATAAAGTTTGTAACATAACTCCTTGATCCCTTTAGCCTTCCAAATTACTCAGTTGTAGAACTCCAAGTTTAAATCACTGAATACTTTTCTCTGCTCCTCCATCCCAGCTGCTAGGTGTTGCCACTGGACATCCGTGGTTCTTGATCTCAGCTGAGATCGCAGCGCCATTCAGCAGTTCTTCAGTGTGATTTTAGTCAGCTTTCTTCCTGTCTTGTGCAGAGGTCAGAAATTGGTGGCTCAGAAGAACTTAGTTCTATAGACATCCTTTGTTTGACCTTGAGACAGTTTTTCAAATGTTGGGATTGGTTGTAAGGATTTAAAAATTAGGAGATTTCAAATAAAAGTTAAAATGTCTAGCTTCTTTTGAAAAATTGGATGATTTGAGAATCTGGCGTGCCATGGCTTTGAGACAGGCCCACCCAGTGTGCCACCCTGTCCACCGCACCCTGTGTACTTATTCCGGTCCATTAGATTTGGTTGTGTTGCTCACTTGATCCTTGTGGGCATTTACTTTTTGGTCTTGTCCTGTGGTCCCTCCCTCCCTCCCTAATATCCCTCAAATCTGTCCCATTGTTGTTAGTGCAAAGCCATCATCATTTTTAATCTGGAGTACTAGAATAGTGTCCTAACCCATCTTCTTATCTCTAGCATTATTTCTCTTGAGTCTGTCTTCCTAGTGGTATCACCTTTCTACATTGCACATTGAATCCCAGCACTCTCGTTTCAAATTCTTTATTGCCTTTCCACTTTGAAGTTTAACCCCCTCACATGGTGTTGCAGGTCTGCCTAACCTCTCCAGCCACTTTCTGGGCCTCACTTTCCTCCTGTGGAACACGGGGGAAATAATAGCTCTTACCTATAGGGTTATAGTGAAGATTAGGTTAAAAACGCATGTAAAGCAGTTGGCACAGTACTTGACATGTAGTAAATGCTCAGTAAATACTAGCTTTTAGTATTAAGATAATACCATGTTTTGTTTTGTTTTGTTTTCCTGGACTCCAGGCCTTCATATTTGCTGTCATTTCTACCCTGAATGTCTTTACCCCAATTCTTGTCCTGATTGCAACTCATCCTTGAGGACTCAGTTCAGGTGTCACCTCCTCCATGATACATTCCCTGATCCTCCGTAACCCTGGGGCACCTGTGCATACCTGTGGCAGTGCACTCTTCACCTCGTAGTGAAGGCTCATTTCTTATTCCTTCTCCTCATTGAGACTTTTAAGCCCTTTAAAGGTAGGAACTGTTTACTTTGAAGCGTCTTAAATGCTTGACAAAGTCATGAATGATCAACATTATTCATGGCAGAAGATGCTTGACTACTATTACTGTTATTTTTAGAGAATTTAGAAGATGTTCAAAATTTATCTAGTTGTGATAACTATTCTTTAGTTATTATTTTTTCCCAGAAATGAAATAACTTTATTTCTGACCATAAGTGATACTTGTGCCTTTGTAGAAAATGAAAAAAAAAGTGTAAAGAAACCTCATTACTCATCAATATAACTAGTGAAGTGCTTTAAATATATAAGCTTATATGTGTGCTACTCAATTTTTGTATTTAAAATCTCACCTATAAACGAATCTTGTTTTACATACAACATTAGAGAATCCAGCTTAATATTGGGTTGGCCAAAAAGTTCACTTGGTTTTTCTTCAAGATGGCCTTAATAGCACTTAGTTGCCTTTAACTTCATTAGAAACAATTTTGTTAGATTGTATTGTGACAGCTCTCATATCAGTGTGTCCTTAAAAAACAATCAAAATTGGTGAATTTTTGTGTAGCCATTTTAATATTAAAGATGGAAGAAAACAACCTTTTTGGCATATTATGCTTTATTATTTCAAGAAAGGTAAAAATGCAACTGAAATGCAAAAAAAAAGATTTGTGCAGTATATGGAGAAGGTGCTGTGACTGAGGGAACATGTCAAAAGTGGTCTGTAAAGTGTCATGCTGGAGATTTCTCCTGGACGATGCTTCAGTTGTGAGTGGACCAGTTGAAGTTGACAGAGATTGAATCGAGACATTAATTGAGAACAATCAACATTATACCACGTGGGAGAAAGCCAACATACTCAAAATATCCAAGTCAATAAAATTATTGGTGAAAATGAAAAGTATGTCTTTTATTTTACGGAAAACAAACCATGTGGACTTTTTGGCCGATCCAATGTAATGAAGCCACTGCTTTTGTGCTTCACATTGCAAGTAGCTTCTGTCTTAGGTAAGGAAATTGCCTTCTGCTAAGGCAGCAGTGTGCCCTAGGAAAGAGGCCTAGGGGCCTCTTAGAGGCCTAGTAATATAACAGATCCATTCTGTCATATTACTGTGTCGTTCCCTTCTTTGTAGGTGACCATTCACTTATCAATATATTCCACCTCGTCTGTGCTTACAGGCCGTTCTCTAGGAATAGAGCAGTTTAAGTTTAGCGAACTAACGCTAACAGCCTATAACAACGGCATTACCATTTGGAGAAGCCCAGAAAGCCTCTTTTAGGAGATCCTTCTTGTTTATCCCCTGTGCCTCTCTCCCACCCTATGTAGCCATTGACATAATTGACAAGGCATTTGGAAGAATACACCTACCAGAGATTTTCTTCTGTACGCATATGCTTTCTTTTCCTACTCTCCGTGTTCAGGTGTCCCATTCCACTCTCTACCCCACCTCAACCCCATCAAGAGTTGTTTCACAGAAGAAATGCGTTCCTTTGTATCCTTTTTGTAGTATATTCTTTCAGTAATTGTCCACTTCTGTTTTTGTGATATGTCCCTTTCTGGGAAATAATACTTTTCTGTATTCTGTAAAGTGAACGTTTGTTACTAAACCCAGTTTATATCTCAGCTGTCATTCCATAGTGGCAACCGATTTTAACATGTGGTGTGGATAGGCTGTTTGAATGAATGAAATTTGCTGTATGTGGGTTTCATCCTCTAATTCAACTCCTGTCTTTGGGAGTGGTTGGAACATAGTTGTCATAATGAAAAATGTCAACTGTCTTTTGTGGACAGTGTTTCTTTTCATTTGTCCAGTTTTCTTCTTGAGTGCTACTTGCTGCCTATTCTTACTTACTTTTTTTACTTTTTTATTTTAGATCACAGATTCTGCTGGCCATATCCTGTACTCCAAGGAGGATGCAACCAAGGGGAAATTTGCCTTTACCACTGAAGATTATGACATGTTCGAAGTGTGTTTTGAGAGCAAGGGTACGTAATCAGTGTTGTCTGCCCCTAAATTAGGCGTCTTCTCTCAAGTTAGGTAGAGCGTGAACTTTCTCTCTTAGGCCAGCAGAAAGAGGAAATGAAAACTGCCTTTGCTGGGGTGCACACCCAAATAAGTGAAAGTAGCATTCCTCACGTGCAGGAATAGGTATTTCTTAAATGCCGTGACATGCTTGGTTTGAGTGATATGAGTTTAATTTGGGATAGATGCTAGAAAATGCAGTATAAGTGAGGACACTAAGTCCTTAGTGAGATTGTTGATAGGTCCTGCAACTTTAAGGAAAATGATGTATAATTAAATCAGTTTTACCATAGACTAATTGATATAAACAAGAGTTAAGTTCCTGTGGTATCTCATCAACATTATCACAAAATAACATTGAATAAAACATGATTCAACAACCTGCAAAGTCAGAAGCAGCTTTGGTTTTCAGAGCACTTGTTATTTCCTGTCCTAACATCTTGCTGTGGATTCTTCTGTGCATCTCAAGGCCAAGATCCCGTAGTAACTTTTAGGCTGATTGCTTGATGGTTTCTATGCTCAGGGGTGGGTGAAAAAGCACATTCCCCTTTACTTCCTATTCTGTCACTTCAAGGACACTAGATTCTAAAAGCTGTATGTGTTTATATTTGTTATGTTAGTTGGGACCCCTTTGGACTACAAGGCACAAAAAACATAACTCAATCTAGCAAAAAGAGAAAGACCACTGAACTCTCTGGACCTGGGAGTCGTCAGCGTGCTGCTGACCTCAGGCCTGTCTGGATATTGGGGTGTTAACAGGATTGTTGGAACTCTCCCTCTCCATGCTTTAGTGCTTCCTTTCCGTGCCTCCTTTTGCCTTTATTCTCAGACTTTCTTCATATGGTAGCCAAAGGACTCTTGGCAATTTTACATTTATAGAAGGTTCAGAACATACAATCCTAGAAGGAAAATAAACACCTTGGCTGACAGCACCAGTCGGTTCCAGGAAGAGCAGATCAACTTGATGTTTTTGACAATTAACCGAGAATTGACTCCCTTGATCTGAAATGGGTCATTTGAGCCTAAAAGCTAAGGGAGTTTGCATAAAGTAAATGGAATAATAGATTAAGAGTAGAAAAGTAAAGGACTTTAATAGTGATTTCATGACTGGTATCCTTTTCCTTGCCCTCACCCATATCGGTTCCAAGATATCTCAACAATAGTCTAAACAGTTTCATAATGGGGCTCACGTTTTTTAAAATTATTTTTGTCTTTTCTAGTCTGTCATCAAGCTATGCTGATGGTTCTTTCAAAATATCTTTTGTATCTATCATCACACAAACCTGAACTCTCATTTTTTAAATTATGAATTATGTCATTAGCCTTCTAACTGATATTCCTGATTTTAATATATCCAGATACTAGTACCAGATTTATCTCTGAAGACATATCTTTCATTATGTCAGTCCATTTTCAGAAGCTTTCCCTCCTCTGTAGTGGCAGTCATATTCCTATTCTGTAGAAGGAAACCTAGAATCACAGGATCTTTGAGCTGGATGGGATTTCAGGTATCAGGGCATTTAGTAGCCTCTGTACCTTCACTCCAACCTTATCTTCCACTGCCCATCAGGCCCCAGCTGGTCTGGCCTGCTCTGCCCTCTAAACATGTCACATTTATTCATTGGCTGGAGTGCTCTTCCCCCATGTAAACATGAGTTCACCTTTAGTTCTTTTAGAGTACTTTCCTCAACTTTCTAATCTGCTTAATTTCTCATCAGTTAGTTGAATCATTGAGCCAGTAATTATTAAGCGCCTTATATATTAAGCACTTTTCTAGGTTTGTGGATATAGCAATGAATAAAACGGAAGTCTCTCTGTCCTTCTGTGGAGCTTACATTTTCACTGGAGCAAATAGACAATAAACAAATACAGGGCAGGTGGTAATAAAGACTTTGGAGAAAAGACAGACACTTGGAGGTGCTGAGCATGTCTCAGAAACAACAAAGAGGTTAACATTGCTTCCTCTAAATACAACATCACTTACAAGTTAGGTTAGTTATTTAGGCACTTAAAGACATAGATAAAATTTAAGCATGTAAAGATTGATATCTATATAGATATATATGTGTGAGGTATATAACACACAGCCAGTGTTATTTAAATGTATGTATGTATTACATTTCTAATTTTAAAGAAAGCTTAAAATTAACCCTAACCCTAAACCTACCTATTAACCTCCCCTAATTCTAGCCCTAAACCTTAACCTAATCCTAACACTATACCTAAACATAACCCTAAACATACCTTTTGTTCTGAATTTCTTTCTTATATGCTGATGATGTGCATGTAGATGCCTAGGAACTCATGTGTGTGTGTGTGTGTGTGTGTGTGTAGAGATATATAAATATGCACACACATAAATTATATATACATATATAAAATATATCCATGTATAAAACACACACTTACTACATACATGCACATTGACACATTATAGTAAGCACTCAATTTCTAGTTTCATTTATGTTCTCTGTTTATTCCCATATGGAGACCATATACCTTCTAGTCTTGGGAGCACCTTTTAAAAAATTGTCTTTTTGCCAGGCAAATGTAGAGAGGTTACTGCAGGGTCTTTTTACAGAGGGGACCCTTTATGGCCATAATGTTAGCTAAGGGGATAAACTGGCTGTTCTGTGCAAGAGATTGTATGGTCTGGACTCAGACCGGACTGAGTGGTTTTGCGGTTTCACTTGTGTTTGAATAATGCCAGTGTTTATGTTGTGGCAAATGGAAAGTGGGAAGAGTCTGTTAGGAAGAGAATGTCTTGATCATGTGGACCAGGTAGGGCTGTGAGCTGCTTGGATTTCACAACTTTTTAAATGAGGAAGGAGCAGCAAAAATTTGCATTGTATCTCTGTGGGCAGTGCTGTGTTCAGGACTTCACATCGGAGTGGGGAGAAGGGACCTGTCTGGATGCCTGTTTTGTTTTGTTTTAGAGACTTAATGGTTTAAATGCCCAGAAGACATTTGTGACTTGTTATAGTTTCTTTTCTTAATGCTACCTACTCAGTCTTATCTCTGTTGATTTTATATTGATTTTTCTAATGTAGTCAAAAGAACTTCTTACTGTTAACATGCCATACAAATTTTAATACCTGAACTTTGCCCATGCTTGTCTTCTGCCTAGAATACTTTGTCCTGTCTTTGACCTTCACTTTAGTGAAGTTCATCCACAGCTAATCTCTTTCCTCCTCTAATCTTTGCTCCATAACTGGGATTATCTGAACCATTTTTTTTTCTCCTAAAGTTTTATACTGCTTTGCATTTTCACTGTAGCTGTTATTCATGCACATGTCGTAGATCCCCATCAAATTATTTGAAGGCAGAGATTGTAACCTCCAGCACATTCTAGCACCCAGTGAGTTCTCAGTGAATAGTTACTGAATTGACTTCAGTCTGTTTCGGAAAACGTCCGGTGCCTCTCAGGCAGCAGAAGGTACAGTACCAGTCTTTGTTGCTTATGGTATCAGGAGCCCCAGTGCTTAAGTGGCACTGTTTTCCATACAGGCGTTTTTTTTATTTTATAAATAATGAGGTGAATGCCAGGGGATGGGGCCGAGCAGTTTCCTGGGGCTCTTTGAGGCTTTCCCTTTCTCCTACGCAATGAAACAAGGTTAGAATTCCTGTTCGATCAAGGTGAATCAGATTATCTTTTTTAATATGAACATTGCTGTGTTGGCCCAACTAGACCAAATCGACATTTCTCTAAGAAGCATCCCTGAGGATTGTGCTCTTATTATCCAGTTTTTTTCTTGGGCTGTTCCCTTTCAAGGGCTTTGTGGAAATAGTCCCTATAATGTTTTATTTACATATTGAAATGGCCTTACCTTGACCAAAATGTTTAAATTAAAGTGAAATGTTAGATAAATCCTGTGTTCTTTTCAGTACTCATGTTTATATTAAGTAAATCCAAGCTAATATATGCCCAGTAATCCTTTTCTCAAAAGAGGACAGGACAACCTTTTTAAATGTGGAAATGTACCTTTTCAACCTAAGTTGGTCCTGGTCTATATGTGCCACTCAGTTTTATACAGTTTTGACTTTTGAGTTTTATTTCTTATTCCAGTAAGCCTGTGCGTTTTCTCGTATTCCACTCCTGTGCAGCACCAGCTGCAGTATCTTGTGTACTGCCTGCATAGAGATGTTTGGCAGCAGCCTGTTCTCTCTGCTTTCCGGCGCCCCACACAGACAGGGGCTTTGTCTGGAATGCTTGGGATCGTAGCCAGAGCCAGGGATTTTCTGCTGCTGAGGATGGGGAGGAGTTTCATCTGTTTCTGTCTGTTGAGAGGGGAGGGGTTAGGAAGACGGAGGGGGGTGGGTGATTTCCCGGAATTTTAAATATTCCGCACAATGAACCCTTTGATTTCTTTCTCAGGAACAGGGCGGTTACCTGACCAACTCGTGATCCTAGACATGAAGCATGGAGTGGAGGCGAAAAATTATGAAGAGGTATGTCCTGCTCTGACAGCTGGAGGAGGCAGTCACTCGTACTGTGCCATGAGGTTTTGGTGACCTACCTACTCAGGCCAACAGGCTGCGCTCTGCCCAGAAGGCTATGGGTTTTCTCAGCAGTCATGTGACAGCCAGTAACAATTTTATTGATATAAAAAGTTGTATTAACGGCCCTGAACAATAATTCTGCCTGTGTTGTCAGCCAAATGACTAAGCCGACTGTCCCACAGAAACGCTGGTGTGATAAACATTCAAGCATAAGCCATTAGCACTCTTGAGACAGCAAGTAGATGCGTGTTTATGATTTTTAAAAGCTGGAATTCATTTAAATGTTAATGTCTGGTGAAGAAAAGTGATTTGTTTTTAATTTCTAAGGCTTTTATCCCCAGACAGACAGCTCTAAACAGAGTGCAGCAAAAGGTTTACAGTTGTGAGTATGTGAAACACAATTTTCCTCTTCCATTACTGTTTATTAATTTCCATACTAACAACTGTAAACCTACTTTTGCACCACCCTGTATAGATCTAGGGCACGCATTCATTCAGTGCTGTTTAGACATGAACATCTCTGCTACCTTTGAGAAACAACAATATCAAAAGTAGCTTTTAGTTAAAATAATTTTAAACTAAGGAAGAGAACAAGATGGAAGAAAAAACTGCAAGAGACTAGGGGTCATGATAAAGACATTTTTTCTGATGGGGAGTGTTATAGAGAATAAAAACTGACATCTATACGGGTGGTAGGGAAGTAGAGGTATGCATAAAATAAGGGGGAAAGGGACTGAGCCTTTTTCATTTCTATTATGACAGACTTTGGGGGCAGCACAAAATGGTTCTTAAATCAAGAGCACCTTTGAAAAACAAAAGAACTGTTTAAGACCAGGGGATTGATCTTTACAGTATGATAAGAGTATTTTTACCCAGATCAGAGTCTTTACCGACACTACCCGTGGGCATGAACAAGAGGTGGGGCACAGGAAATGTAAATGGCTTTTGAAGAATGTAAACTAAATAGACAAAATTATTTTAAGTGATTTAAGAGAATTTTCTAGGAGGGACAAAGCAGAGAAATTGCTTTAGCTTTGGTCAGGGTTTGAAACAGAATATCCTAAAATGGAAGAAGAGTGGAAGTGACTAATTCTGCAACAGGAAGTAGTGTACAGTTGCAGCTCTTCAGGTCTTTCCTCTTCTTTCTAGTTCAAGTGTGCAATTGAACAAACTAGATCTAGTTATTTGTAAGCAGTAAACAGGAGCAAATATGCAACAGTGAATGGAAGACAGTTCCCGGTAGATACTTTGATTTGCTTCTTTCTGTATCCAGGCTAGTTTAATGAAAATAAATAAAGCAAGAGAGACTCTTTATTTGATGAACTTAAGAGTAAAATGAGGCCCCAGTCACTGAGCTGCCACTGAGGACTCAGGAGCCTCCCCTTGAGCCCTTCTTGCTTCCCCACACTTTGTCCCTGTCCCCTCTCCCCCTTCTCTCACCACAGCCTTCCTCAGGCTGCTGCCACGAAGGAAAAGGAACTGTAGTGTATGTCTGTTATCTAGGACCTCCACTGTTTTGGCTCCTTTGCTAATGCGGGTAAGGTTAATGACCTGCTTCCCACTGGCACTGAGGATTATATCCATATAAGAATTCAACAGAAAAACTGTAGAAAGACCCTTGCTACTGTCTGAGGAATTGCTGATGATTGCAATAAAAAGAAACTAGTGAGGTGTTTAAGAAGAAATTTGCTTGCCCTGGCTGATGTGGCTTGGTTGGTTGGAGTGTTGTCCCGTAACCGAAAAGAAAGGTTGTGGGTTTGATTGCTGGTCAGGGCACATACCTAGGTTGCAAGTTTAGTCCCTGGTCTGGGCACATACTGGAGGCAAACAGTTGATGTTTCCTTGCTCTCTCCCTTCCTCTCTCTCTAAAAAGCAATTAAAAATTGTCCTTGGGTAAGAGTAAAAAAAAAAGGAGAAGAAGAAATTTGCCTGTGACGGTGCTGTTGTTGAGCACCCAGACTGTGGAGAAGTAATGCAGCTACAGAGGGACCAGCGCAAGCACATGGGCCAGTTCCTCATCGAGGCTGGACTGGCGGAGAAGGGCAGCTGGAGGTTCATGGGTCCCAGGTGCTCTTGGTTCATGGAAGCCTAAGTGAGGGTTTTCCTTGCAATGAGTGGAGTTTCCCTTCTGGCCCTTGTCACAAGTTTAAAAACCTCATTTCTTATGTAATAATACAGTGGTAATCGTTTGGGGTCTGCTTTTAAATGGACTAGTGTAACTCTTTCTTGCAGTAAACTGAAATAGCCATGTAAAACTAAATAAATGAGTGAAAAATCCTTTTTAACTTTCATGATATAGAAGAACCATAATTATATTTAAATAAGATAGCATATTAAAGTGCTGTTGCAAGGTATGAAACACTAAGAAAAATGTTGCTGTAGTTATTTATTATGAAGTGGAAGAATAGGTAAAATGATTTTCAGGTTTTGGTTACCACTGCTATATCCTCAGCCTGAGACCATCCTCTGAGCAAACATTCACTGAATTCCTACCATGTGGAGTTTTACCTGCTGTAACGTTTCCCCCAATGTGACGGTTATCATTAGGTGGTACATATTAAATAACAGGCCTCTTGATTAGACTTCAGACGTAGCTTGTTCTCCTCTAAAACAGATGGTAGTATCATGAGCTTACATTTAGAATAATGTGGACATCACTAGCACGTAGCATTTTAGAACCCCCATACCTCCTGGAATCTTTATTATTCTTGAACTTTGTTGGCACCAGGAAAGAGCCATTGTCTTTCCTGACCTTTTGCTTAACCCGAGAGGGGAATCCCTAGCAGAAGGCAAACCACAGTGCTTCCTTTGCGCCGTTTCCTGCCGTGGAAGTCTGGCACGTCCTAAGCTGTTCTTTACGCACATGGTTACAACACATCTCTGAATTCAGTTTCTTAATCAAGAAACTCCTCCCACTTACTTCTTTGGCAACCCCCGCCCCCCAGAAAAGCAGACCACATTGAGATAGACGAGGAGAAAATGGTTACGACACAGGCCAAAGTCCAGTCCTCTTCTCAATTTATGGCCAGGCTTCCTTAACCTTGCTTAGAAATAGCTGTTAGTTGTCTCTGGGCTAAAGCCTGTGACAAGAAAATGGATAATAGAACCACTTGCTGCCTGCTTAATTGCCAGGGAGCACTGAGCACTTGTAGAGGGTTTGAGGCATTTAATTTCAGGCCCTTGAGATAATGGAGAGCCTTTGTCTAGAGGCTTTGGGCCATTTGGCATCAGTATTTAGATTCAGGGAGGTGGCACATTTGTTTATTTCCTTCACATCCAATGTGTCTCTCCCTCACATTTGTGGGCTTTGTGATTCTAAAATCCCATGTGGCTCTGGAAAGTGCACTAGTAGTTGTAATCAGTAAACACAATACAAATGTCAGATATTATTTGGAAGACGGAGTGGTTGCCATATTGCAAAGAAGTATAGTCTTGCAGTATGAATTCTTTAAAGAGAAAGAATGCTGTATCTTCAAAAATAAAGCATCTTTGATTCCCTCGGTTGTATTTTAGGGACTTCTCACCACTCTTTTGCCTGGGAGGAGGGGGCATCTTTGTAGAATCAGTATGTTAATTAAGCCATTCCTTTCTTTTCTTTTCTTTTTTTTTTTTTTAATCCTCACCGGAGGGTATGCTCGTTGATGTGTGAGAAAGAGACAGACACTGATGTGAGAAACATTGATTGGTTGCCTCCTGTATGTGCCCCAACTGTGGATGGAATCCACAACGTAGGTATGAGCCATGACTAGGAATTGAACCAGTAGTCTTTTGGTGCACGGGACAGTGCTCCAACAACTGAGCCACCCAGCCACAGCAAGCCATTTCTTTTTAATTTGTGGTCTGTGAACTAGAGCAGCCGTTGGTGGGGATTTACTGTCTAATTGTGCAGTTGTGGGAATGAAGACAATTACTATCCCACAAAGAAGGAGCTACCTGTGACCTATTCAGTGATTCTTGGGCTGTGTATGGGAGGGGTGTCCCCTCCCAAAAAAAAAAACCCCAAAACTGGAATTGTCTGCCCTGGCCAGTATGGCTCAGTGGATTGAGTGCCTGCCTGCAAACCAATGGTTCGATTCTCAGTCAGGACATATGCCTGGATTGTGGGCCAGGTTCCCTTGTGTGGGGCGCTCGAGAGGCAACCACACACACTGATGATCCTCTCCCTTTCTCCCTTCCTTCCTTTCTGTCTAAAAAATAAAATAAAATCTCTTTAAAAAAAAATGGAGTTAACTTCTGGAGGACAGCCCCTTGTAGTACATACAGGCTTCCCCTGTTAGGTGAGTGTTCTAGGAACCCATCTTGTATCAGTGGACCAGCTGGCGTTGTTGTGAGAGGCTGTGTTCAGCTTCAGTGAAATTTTTTTGAAGACTTTCAAAGTGTTTGCCAATTTCATGATGTGTGATATACAAGTGCACCTGCCCACACCATGCTAATGTTAAACATTTTTTTGACGAAAATCAGCATGACCCCCATGCCCCACCCTCCCTATTCACCTGATCTTGTCCCAAACAACTTTTTTTGTTTTCCGGATGTAAAAAGTCCTCAGAGGGAAAGTTTGCTGATTTGGAAGAGGTGAAACAAACAAAAAAACTGGCAGAAGCCCTAAAAGGCATCAAAATTGACGAGTTTAAAAACTGTTTTGAGCAGTGGAAAAAAAGGTCTCCATGAGTGTATTGCATCAGAAGGAGAGTACTTTGAAGGTGACTGAAGTTTAAATGTGTAAGAATACATACTTTTTAATAAATAAATTCCTTTGCGGGGGGCTCGTATGACCCTTCTTGCTATGTCAGCATTTCTGTTGCAACTAAAATCCTGATCCATGATGAACTAAAATCCTGTTCTGTCCAGTGGATCTTTTAGTCATTTGCTATCAACAGACACACGAAAAGCACGGTTTCCTTCATTGCAGCAACAGCTGGAGACGACAGCTGAAGACTTTCCGACATGTC